AATAATATTGAAACAGAAACACGAAAAAACCACTTATAAGCCAAAACTACCAAATAACATCAGATGCACAAATCACTGCTGTACAAATTTCCAAAAAGCATAAAATAAAGGTCAAGCCATGCGATTCCCGCGGAATTCTTGCAAACTGCTCTTCTACCATCCCGTTATCAAATATACACAGCAGCAGTAACATAAAGCAAACAGTGCATCACAAACAAATAACCCTTTCTTCTTAAAAAGAAAAAACTACTTATTTCTTCCTCCGACTTGCCCTTACCACACTGTCTTAAGTTCAGTGACCAACAAAAAAAAACTGAGAAACAAATAAACAGCAAAATAAATAATCAAACGAAAAAATAAAAAAACAAAAAATAAAGCTTTGAAGAAAAACTAGCTCTAATTTGACGCGGAATTCCGCTTACTAGAACTGAATGCCTATCGAGAAAACCGCTGTGAGAAATGTGATAGGTTTCAAGTGTTAGAATAACTTTCTGTAAAGTTCAAAAAAAAAAAACCCATGATTTTTTAAACATCGATTAAGACATATATGTATGCATGTAACGAATTTATGCAATATATCAAAACATATCTCAACTAAAGATGTATATCGTCATGTATAACAGAAAAAAAAAAATGTATATGACATCAAAATAAACAGGCGTGCAAAAACTGCAAAGCCAAAAAGCTCAAAAACTCTGAAAATATCTTCTAGAAAACAAACATAAATATGAGAATAAATAAAAGAATTCCGGGTATATGCAATGAAACCGCCAAGCATAAAAACCAGAACTAAAAAAAATTATTCAACGAAGATCTTATTTGAAAAAAAGATAAAAAAATTATCTAACAGGAATTAACTCAAAAGCCATAGACGATTTCTTCAACCAGATCACTAACAATCTATTTAGGAAGTCAATTATAATTTCACCGCATAATTTCTCTAAAAATCTTATTCGCATTCTTCTCGCTTCTACCGCGGTAAATTAAAAAATAAGTACGAAAACTGCTTTAAAAAGTTTTAAAAGATGAAAAACAGACCGGTAATATACCTGCTGAAGTACAGCAAAAATGCAGC